CGTCTTCAGAGGTTTAGCAGCGCCTGCGGTGTGCCACACAGGGTGGAAAAGGACACCGAGAACGAGACCGCAACAGCCAACTCCCCCGTGGCCGCGGCACGGGATCCCGCACGGTGCTGTGAGCCAGCGAAGGACCCTCCGGGTCCATCCTCTTCCCTGCTGACGCCTCTGGGAGGGCAGGGCTGAAGGCGGTGAGCAGAGCAAAGCAAAGAGCTCGTCACCGGACGACACCTGAAAGTCCTCAGTAGTAGCCACAGGGCAAGACAAGCCGTGGTGTGCGGGAGGGGAGGAGGAGAGCTTCCCTGCGGGAGAAAGGATGGGGACAAGAGCGGCGACCGGAGCTGCCCGGATGCTGGGAATAACCTCTCTGCGGTCAAACACCTCCAACCTGACCTCGCTACAGTCCCCCCTAGTGGGCAGACAGGTCCAGAGGGGAAAAAGGAACGGGGAAGTGGGGGCTAAATAAAAAAGAAAACAAAGAAAAGCCTCACACGGCAAATCTAAAACACTTTCATTTTAAATAACAATAATTATAATTAAAAAGAATGGTTGCCCTTGGCTAGAGAAGGGGCAGAGCCACTAGCCAACGTGCCATTCCTCAGTGTACGATCCTAGGGAGTGTCTTTACAGAAGCCGTGAGATCCTGTTCCCCGTCGCTCAGTCGAGTCTCTGTGGGGTGAGCGGGAAGGGAGGGGGAAATGTGCCCGTCCAAATCCAGGACGTCCCTTTTGCTCCGCACGAAGGAGGCCGGAGTCAACAGCAAAAGGCATTTTGCACTCGCAGCCCTGCCGAAAAAGTCACCCTCTGCCCTCACCCGCCTCCGGCTGAAGTTCGGAGAGCCGAGGGCGCCCGGCTGCCTCCTGCTTCTAGATGAACTTGAAGCATTTTGTCTTGTCGTGGGGCAGGCGGGTCTTGAAAAGGACCGAGTCCACGCGGAACTGGGTGTACAGGAGAGGCATGTACCCGTACACCTTGACGAAGAAGTTGATGCACTTGTGTCGCTCGTGGAAGTGAGAGTCGTCGTGCGAAAGCGCCTGGGGGCACCCGGGGCAGCGGAAAGTCCAGCGGGAGGTCACCTGCAAAGAGAGGGACAAAGATGGTCACTGCCACACCGCTCACAACACCCCGGCCCCGGGGGGACACCCTGCCTGCGCCCGAGGCACTGCGCGGGGGACGAGTCTTGACATCCTGTGTGACATGCCTCAGGCTGGGCACAGATTCGGCTGTGCTCTCCCCAACTGCTGGGTGTCCCTTGGAGGGTGTCCAGGAAAGGAAGGACATGTCCGCACCAGCTCTGTCAGAGCAGAGACTTAAAGGGGGACATGATGATCTACTAACGCTTCATTACTTTTTTCTGATTTAAGGTTTGAGAAGCTGTTTCAGAAAAACGAACAAACAAAAAAGATCTTGAACACCTTTAGGCACTGGAAGGGGCTCTGAGGCCTCCCCTTTTCCGCCTTTTCTTCTCCAGGCTGAACCCCCCCAACTCTCCCAGCCTGTCCTCCCAGCAGAGGGGCTCCAGCCCTCCCAGCAGCTCCGGGGCCTCCTCTGGCCCCGCTCCACCAGGTCCATGTCTCTCCTGTGCTGAGGCCCCCGAGCTGGAGGCAGCACTGCAGGGGGGTCTCCCCAGAGCAGAGCGCAGCAGAGGGGCACAATCCCCCCTCGCCCTGCTGGCCACAGATGCTACAGAAGAGTCAGCAATTCATGGAGCCCCTTGTTTCAGGCACCCAGAGTAAGATTTTTGGAGGGGGCTCCAGTTTTCAGGAGGTGTTGAGGGGAGACCTGTTGATTAAAGGGCCTCCTTGTCCGTCTTAAGTCAGACACCCCATTGCAGTGACCGCCTTTTAGTTTTGGTCTGATTCTCATCTCAGCTGCACCAAACTCTACAACCTCCACTTCACAGTGGCTCCAGATGGGGAGAACACCACACAGAAAAAACACACCCATCATATTTATGGCCAAGACCCATCTCTAAGGCAGCTGGCCGGCGATGGTGAGACATACGCAGGGCTGTAAAGAGCAGTTTGCCAGCGGCGATAAAGAGCAGACTGATCCGCATCCAAAATTCATGCTCAAAACTGTGACATTCATTTGTTATCACAGGGCAGGGAGATCTCAGCTGGGCTGCAGTGTGTGCACCGACAGCCCTCCGCACGCAGATAAGCCTAAATGTCTCTGGAAAGCTACACAAAATCAGCAAGGAAACCATTACTACGTGTGCTGTACAATAGAAAAGAAGGAAATTTGTCTTTTAGGGACCAGCTGCTCGGAAGGGCCTTTTGCTGATCCAGGAAACCCTCCGGTCTGAGCTGCAGCATAAATCAAACCCCAATTCATCCGCTCGCCATGGTGGGGATTCGGCTGCTTCTAAGGGCTGCACTGAGATTGAACCTTTTTGAACACACACTACGTCTCCTCGAGGCCGGAGAGGGGACATGCTGACAGCCTCGAGCACGTCACACTTGCAACGCAGCACTCAGAGACACGATGCACCCAGATTTTGGTAAGGGCAGTGCGCGCTGCATGGCGCAACTTCTGCGCTGAGAGAAAGGGAACTGGATTTCCTCCGGAGCAGAGCAGCCTCCTAATATACCACTTGCCTTTCAAAGACATCGCCCAAATCACTGTTTCTCCAGAAACACCAAGCCCGGCACAAACTCCTGCCCGTTGCGTTACCTTTATGGGAGGCTTTCTCGTCAGGTGAGAGACCAAGAAGTTCATGGCGATGTCCTCGCAGTTGATGTATTCATCCACCATGTCGCGGATGGCTTGCGGCATCACGTAGGAGTACAGGTAGGCGTAATACTGGAAAGGATGAAAAGGCCCAACGTTGCTCAAGGTGGTCGCAAGAAGAGAGCTCAAGGAAGCCAGTGGAGAGACTCCCCATAACGGAGTTAAACCCGCACTGGGAGATGTGCTGTAGCCACAGCAGCAGCAAATCCACCCCACAGCCACCACCTTGACCAAGTCCCAGAGCTCCCGTAGCTTCAGAAATGGGGAAATGGTGGTTTCAGCCCCCTCGGATCTCGGTGTCTTGGCTGCTGCAGAGTCAGCACAGCAGCAGTAGCTAGCGGATTACCTTCCCACTGCGATATGATAGCTCTGGACAGTCTTCTCGGAAAAACATCCCATCCTTTTCTCAAAGTCTGTTGCCTCTCCCCTACAGCGAGGCACACACCACGGAGCCACCTTCTCCATTGCTCCCTCCCAACAGAAACCAGCCGCCTCCCACACCTACCAGCCAGCCCATGCCACCACGCAGCTGCAGAAACCCGTGACTTCCCCACGAATTGCCCCTTGCCATCACTTTGAGTCTGTGAGATTCAAGATGCTCCAGTAAAGACGCAGGGCGGGCAATCCCGTGGCCCGCCGCGCCCTCGCCATGACCGAGAGCATCGCTGAAATGCGCTTGGCCCCGCGCTCCATCCACCTCCTTCAGCGCCGTGGTGCTTCTCATGTGGCATAAACATACGCTGCTCCTCGAGGAGACCATTCGGTGGGACACAGACCAGTTGCTGGCTGTGTTTCAGTTTGGAGGAAGCGAGGGAAAGGGAGGGGTGAGCTCCAAAATTTGTTCTTTAAAAAAACCACCCCCACTAACATACCGACTCTGGCTACTCTGAGAAGGAACGGAAAGGTCAGGGCTTTGCGGCCACAATATCTCACCTTATGGAAGAAGGCAGCACCAGTGAGCACCATAGAGAGCTCACAAGAGTAGTTGGAGTTGTAGAGCCAGGACTGATGGGGGATGTCCCACGCATGGTAGCGGCCCGGGAAGCCAACGATGCGGTCCCTTGCCTCTCTCCAGACACTGCAAACACAAAGACTTTCAGTGAGACACAAACCCGGGGAGCCCGTCCGGAGATGAGCACGGCTCTGGCTGAGAACCACTACCCACAGGGCTGCGCCCGCGACGCCAACAGACCAGCTCCCGGGGGGGGCTGCAAACGATGGAGATGCCTATATGTAAAAAAATTTGGCAACTCCTCATCCACAGAACAGCCGACATACACTGTACTTCGGGCAAAAAGGATAAGCATCGTTAAACCGTGCAATTACCTTGCTTTAAAGTCCATTTAATTTATTTTTTTTAAATAAAAATACAGAAAATGCCAACATGCAAAAGACATCTTTTTACGTAGACTGTAGAGTACAAGCTTGCCCACCTCCACAGCGCCCACCTCAAACGTCGGTAGGAGGGACCAATCGGTTGTCAGAGCTGCCTGAGTGACACATGAACAAGGTCTCTGCCTGAGATAACTCTGATTTCTTTCCTATTGTAGGGCAGGAAAGGGCTGAACGCAGGAATCTTGGATTTAACGGACAGGCAGAATTTATTGACCTTCCCTCGTTCGAGGTTAAAAGCTGTCAGAGGTGAACGGAAGCATCCCTCGGCCAGCTCTCCCAAACACAGGCTGTGAGCGCAGACCAAGGTTGCTCGGTACAAAGCTGAGCTTCTCCCCTCGGTCCTCTCCTAGAGACACGTTCAAGTTGCCTGTTCACAGGGAAAGTGCTCCTAACTCATGAATTCAGGATTTTTTAATGCATAAGGGCTGTCCTGTAGGTTTAAAAGGAAACTAACAAAAAAGCCCAGTGGCTCAAAACTAGTTTCTGAATTACATAGAGAATGGGAAACTTAAGAGCTCAGATGGAAAGGCAGAGAAAGAGGCAGCGAAAGGCAGCAAGAGGGGAAACTCTTAACGTTTGCCACCACCTTCCCACAGCCCATGCAGGGGCATCACTGCATCACACGTACGCCAGCACTGTTTCTCTCTTATTTCCCTCTATAAAAAGACCAGAGCAGCCAGGGTTTGGGCTGGGAGGAACCCAGCATCTCTTGGCCCCTTCCCCGAAATCCCTGGGGTTCTCCATCTCCCAGAAGCTCAGTTTCCTCCTCCGTAAAGTCAAGATACCATCAAGCTCCCTTAAGGAAAGCTGCTGAGATGATGAAGATCCCGGTGTCTCCAGACAGATGCGGAGTGCCAAACTGCCAGCTTCCCATCCCAAAGCAGCACCGGGCGGCTTTCCAGGCTCTGTCCATACGGGAAAACCCTCTGGGGCTGTAAAGCGCATCCGTCACCCTAAAACATGCTCTCAGTTGGGCCACAGGGAATTAAATCCTGAGGTTCGCATGTGAGAGCGTGGGCTTGCTTAATATTCTGTTCTCATCTGAAGCTCACTCTCCTCGAGAGAAATCCCACAGGATAGCTGCAATACAGGCAGGAATAATTAAGAAAAATGTCAGTGCCTAATGCCTAACCTGGGAGATAAATCCAGGTCCCACGGGCAGGGGTGCTGGCTTCCTTCGGATCCTCTGATCCCATCTCCCTCACGGTTAGTGTCCAAGCTGCATCTCCAAACCCAGTGACTCCAGACTACAAGAAACAAGTCCCAGGAGGGAGCCTGTTGGACACGGAAGGGCTTTCCTTTCTTCACAGCCACAAAATAGGGCAGAAAGTGGCCTTTTTGTTTCTTTTTTCCCCTCGTGGATGCGAGTTCCCGGTTCTTCCCACAGCCCCAATTCCCGCAGAGAGCTACAGAAGTGATGGCTGCAGGGCAATCGCAGGCTGTTGACGAGACCGAGTTTCCGAGAGCTCTGAGCTTTCATTACACTTACCGGCACAGCCAGGAGCAAAAATGTGTTTATTGTTATAACCTCTACTCAAATTAATGAAACTCTGATATAACCTGGTAATGAAAACCAAGTAATTAACACCACCAGCAGCTTTCCTGGCACCATCCTCCCGGCAAGCGCTTGTTTGCTGCGGTTTCTGTCAATCCAGTGTGATTGTTTTGAAGAGCCCAAGTCGAAACTACTCATCCCCTTTCACTTCTCCCACGTCTCACTTTCCTATGAACGTGACACTTTTTTCTTCCCAGCTTAGCCACAAAAATAAGGATATCTCCAGAGAATCATTTTGGGAGCGCTCCTCAGACAGGTTTGCTCGAGGTACTCACCTCCAGCTCACTCCTGAGCAGCAAATGGAGCAAGAAGAGGCTCTTGGCCCCAAGAATTACAGCCCGAAGCAAAGTTTCAACAAAACACAGTTGTTATGGGCAGAGGTTCACTCAATCGCCGAGACGCCGTCTCTTCCCTGGCTGAACGCCTTAGCACAGGGAGGCTTTGTGGGAACAAGGTGTTTGTAAGAAGGGAAATGAGTGAGAATAATATACGGCACTTATAATTTTCATTTGACGCTCTCCAGGGCTAATCGGTAAAGCCTCAGCCCGGCGCTGTGGATGAGCAAAGGAAAACAGAGACCAAAGAGGGGGAGAAAATGGCCAAGTTCAGCTAAAGAGCCTGAAATGGGGCACGGAAGGGAAACCAGGAGTCCTGACGCCTACTCCCCTGCTTTCATCACGTTAACACCTCGTTTCTCATCTCTCAGCCAGAGCTGGGTTTCCAGGCATTTTGTGCCTTTTAATCTTCCTCCCAAACACGAGCCAACACGTTTTGGTGACAGCAGAGAGCTGGTCCTCATCTCCCACCCCCCCAGCCAGCTGCCGGGTGCTCTTGGATTAGCAATCGTAGCCCCCGCTCATGGCCCGGCGGGCTGACGAGCCACAGCCAAATGAGCTCCGGTGCTCTCTCCTCGTGCCATCCTCACTCCCCGGCACCTCTTTGGCAGCCGGCGAGGTTTAGCTGTACGAGCTGCAGGAGCAGCCGCAGAAATTCCCATGGCAGGAGCCCACCTAACGGCTTTCTCCCTTGCCCTGAAATCAGGAAGCTTTTTGCCAGGGCAAAGTCAAGGGGAAATGTAGATGATGGAGCAGAAGGGGGGTGGGAATGAGAGCAACCAGCACCAGCCTTTTCTATGTAACATCTGTCTTTTCCACGCTCTGCAGCAAAAAATGCCAAAATAGCTGTCGCATCCCAATGTCACAACGAGCAAAGAGGACGGCAGCCCACCGCGAGGACACGAGCATCACGTCCTGCAGTGGCTGCAAATGTCCTGGCCTTGCCAACGGCACGTGAAGGATGGAGCACAACAGCCTCTTGGATTTGTTTTCCAGTTTCCTTCCACCCTAGGAAGCCACGCACCCCCAAAACCATTACGGGAACATTATCAGCACAGCAAAAGCTGCAGAGTTGAGGTTAGGAAGCGTGAGAATCAGCTGGACAGCCTGCAATCAGCCCACCCGCCTGCACTCATTAAACAGTTCATTAGTGCGTATTACTCCTTCAAGAAATTGAGTTGGAAAGCCATGGGAAGGGATGTGCTCGTCCTAATTCTGGCCCCAGCGTTAGCCACGAGGCCACGCTGCATCTGAGCAGGCTCTGGATGCGGAAAACATCCGTTTGGGTGCAAAGGCTCTGTGTGCAGAGGCCACTCACCGGAACCCGAACATGATCTCGTCGTGGCGAAGGTGAGCATCATCATCGATGGACAGGATGGCCTCCGTCTCGATCTCATCCCACGGCAGGAACCGGTTGTTCAGGCTGTTTTTCTCTGTGCGGACAACCTACGAGATGAACACACGATAGTTATGGTGGCTGTACGTGCACAGAGAAGCGATTTAGGGGCTGGTGCCGGGCACTCCAGCTGCAGCGGTCCAGCATTTCGGCACTGCTTCATAGCCCATGGGATAGGGAAATGCTTTCTAACCAAAAACCATGAGCTCACTGGTGCCAGCTCCAGCCCCCAGCCTGTCTCGCAGGACTGCCAAAGCCGAACCCAAGCCCCCCGACGGCAGGTACCAGCTGTAACGGCTGTGTTTGCCAGCGCCTGCCCTCCCGGCGCAGGAGGGCTCTGCAATAACAAAGCATCAGCCAGAGGTGGAAACGCAGGAGCCACGGCTGGTCTCTCCTATGGCCACCGAAGAAATGGCTCTCGCGGCATTTCTCCAGCGCTGATCTGAACGGAATTGTTTCTACAACTACCCACGATTTCTGCCTTGGACACAATTCGTTTGCAATCCCTCCCTCTCTCCAAACTCTTCCAGTCCCCCACTGTGCAATTTCCCTTATCCCCAGCCACACACGTGTAAAATCACACTGAATTTCTCCCTCTTCTTGACTTTCCCTTCCACGCTGGACCCTTTCTCTCCCTTGCTCTTACACTTTTCGCCCGCCCGGGATGATCTACAGTCACTCAGTTCATCCCGGGCTTCCCATCCCGTTCAATCCCTCCAGTCGTTTCTCTGGCTCTCCTCTGAACAATCCCTCTTGATTTAAAAATAAAGTCCAGCCTGGTGAAAAGAATAAGGCGTCACGGCAATAAAACTCCATTAAACGCGATTACATTTGATCACATAAAAAAAAAAGCCCACACTGAAACCATTAACAGTGCAAAATATTTGTACTGGGGATCCGCATGACAGCTAGTATGATTAAACTCCCGTGTAAAGGCAGTGTTAGCGCTTTCATCTGTCAATAGCTGCTGGGGGGAGGGGGATGGAATATTCGACAAGAATGCATTAAAATATTTCACTGAAGATCCATCAAAAGCACGAACAATTTATTGCAGGGAGGTGAACAACTTATGCAGCTCTAAGCCGGGGTGGAGCAGGGCCAGAGCCGAGCCGGCAGCACTCCCGCCCCAGGAGGGCTGCGCCGCAATTAGCGCCCGTAGGAGGAGGCAAAAACGGAGACAGGCAATGCTGGCGCAGGAATTTCTTCCCCCTTTCCCTCCCAAGGTGGAGAAGCATGGCAAAAATCAGCACGGCCTTTGTATTTACTTTTAGAGTTAGCGTGAGCCAGCAGATGCTCCCAGGGATATCGTCACTACCTGGGAACGGCTGGAAAAGAGAGGTTGCAGGAATCACAGCGGTAATGGGCAATGAGGAGGGAAGCAGGAGAGGAGACAACTGCACATGCTGATTTGGGCAAGGGAGCTGGTAAGACAGGAATTAAAAAACCAGGAGGTCTGGAACAGTACGGCCCTAAGGCGCTGGGCCAGGAGGCCAAAAAGGACCTGGACACAACAAGGCCAGTGCAAGCTTCGAGAAAACCAGCTCCACAGAAGCGTCACCAAACCCCAGAGGCTGTGGGCATCCTCTGGATGTGTCAACCAGGGAAGGAGGAGCCAAGACTGGTTCCCAAATTGACAACAAGGAGAATGTAAATCTTCTCCTACAGCACCATGGCTGTATCTGTAACTGGCTTTAGCAAACCCAAGTGCTCTCGCAGCTGCACCAGGAGAAGCAGGTTTGCTGGCCCAGAAAGAGAGGACATGGCTCTCAATGGGGCAGCTGGGACCCACTCAGAGATGCTTTTTGGACTGGAAGAGCACTTTGCCAAACTGATACGACGACAAACCCAAGAACACCGTAGAGGGCCGCAAAGCAGACCTTGGTGGGGGCCGCTGAATGCCTCCAGTGGGACGTGGGCATTTCACCTTTTTAATTAAGAGCCATTAGCCCCAATTACCAACCATTTTCTAATTAATCGTGCAGCACATCATTGCATTTACAGGATCTGATTTTATGATGTGAGTGGTTAAACGCCTTAGGAAATTTTCTTCCTCCCACACCTGACCTGCTCCTTTCCCGGTCAGCGCACACGCAACCCACCCTGCACAGCAGCTCTCAACTGTTTCTTGAAGGCTTCAGGATCGGCACCAACTGCAAAAACCACCCGAGAGCAGCTTTCCTGGTTTCTGTCACAGGCAATGGCCCCCCCAGTAAAGTCCAGCCTGGACCAGTTGGGAACTGGTCATCACTCTCTCCACCTCAACAGCAATATAAGATGTCTTTATGAAAGCAGCACCATTTCTCCTGATGGAGTCTTCAGACCACCAATTTTTTCCTCCCATTGCAGATCCCGCCTTCTAGGAAGCGTGCAAACTCATTAAACCCGGCACTGATACATAACGTAGCCTTCTGCTAAAGAGCACGTGCCACGCTGCCTCGCGGCTGTTACAATGGTTTTTCCTCCGAAAGCCCGATCTCAGTGAAGACTGTGGGTGTCTCACTCGTTAGGATTAGCAGAAGTTGGACTGAGTCCACAGTAAAAGGATGTGCTTTCCAGGCAAGGTCCTGCCTCGCCAGCTGAAGCTGTATAGATGGATAACTTCAAGCTCTTCAAGGAGTCAGTCAACGGGATTCCCTGGGAAACTGCCCTCTGGGACAAGGGAGCAGTGCAGAGCTGGCAGATCTGTAACGACGCTTTCCATAGAGCACAAGAGCTCTCCATCCCCAGGCGTAAGAAATCAGGAAAGAAAGGCAAGAGACCGGCATGGCTGAGTTGAGACCTACTGGGCAAACTGAAGGGCAAGAAGGAAACGCAGAGGCAGTGGAAACAGGGACAGGTATCCTGGGAAGAGTAGAGGGACGCTGCCTGGTTGTGTAGGATGGGGTCAGGAAGGCCAAGGGCGAGGGGGGATTGTGCCCCTCTGCTGCGCTCTGCTCTGGGGAGACCCCCCTGCAGTGCTGCCTCCAGCTCGGGGGCCTCAGCACAGGAGAGACATGGACCTGTTGGAGCGGGGCCAGAGGAGGCCCCGGAGCTGCTGGGAGGGCTGGAACCCCTCTGCTGGGAGGACAGGCTGGGAGAGTTGGGGGGGGTCAGCCTGGAGAAGAGAAGGCCAAAAAGGGGAGAGCTCAGAGCCCCTTCCAGTGCCTAAAGGGGCTCCATGAAAGGTGGGGAGGGACTCTTGATCAGGGAGTGGAGCCATGGGATGAGGGGTAACAGTTTTAAACCGAAAGAGGGGAGATTTAGATGAGATATTAGGAAGAAATTCTTTCCTGTGAGGGTGGTGAGCCCCTGGCCCAGGTTGCCCAGAGAGGTGGTCAATGCTCCATCCCTGGAAACATTCCAGGCCAGGTTGGACGGGGCTCTGAGCATCCTGATCTAGTTAAAGATGTCCCTGGTCATTGCAGAAGTGTTGGACTAGATGTCTTTAAGGTCCCTTCCCACCCAAACCATTCTGTGATTCTATAAAGGACAAAAGAAAAACGAGCACCACCAGGCTGAGCAACAGAAACCCCTCTCTGCCTCACTGATGCACTGGGAAGTGGGTACTGCTTTGAATTTATCAGACTCCTATTCACCCCGGGCCTTCCTTTCAGCTTCTCAGGAAAGATTTGGGTATTGCATCTGCAAATGTCAACTCATTTCTGCTCCCCAAAGCTAAAAATGGCAGCATGGAGGTTTTGCCCACAGCATTGTCCCACATTTGTGTCCCATCATGTCTGAAGCTTTGCAGGTCTGGAAGCGCCGGTGTTCAGCTTTTGCATTTCACAGAAAATAGGTGTACTCCTGCCTTTCATCTGGGAGTATTTAAGCTTTAAGCAGCCTGTAAATCAATGGATCCCAAAGAAAAACCCAGCAAACTTATTGATTGACTTGTTTTCCCGTAACTTGCCGAACAATAACATGATGCAACTACTGTCAGTTGAGAAAGTGAAGCGGATCCTGCCTGAAACGTCTGAAATCGGGGATCCCTGAGGACAGAGAGATCAGTGCACCGTCATTAAACTCTTCCCTAAGGAGAAGGATGCTACAAAGGAGCCGGATGCCTCCAAGCCTTGATAAACACATTGAATTCATCACATTAGCTCCAGCAAAAGTTAGAAGCAACTTCAAGCTATTGCTATATTTAATAGTTGTCTGATGACAATTAGCTGCATCCTAAAAGTCCTGTAAATAGGGACTATACAACTATTCAGTGGCTTTTGTAACCCCCTGCGCTTTCCCATGGGCGACTGCACCAAGGAAGCACGTGGGGACCGGCAGGCAGCAATCTCAGATGGGAACGATAGGGCTGAGATTCAAACCCTTCCTCCCGTCTCTCTGTCCCCTCGAGACAGTTCAAGCGCGATGCCTCCCCAGGCAAGACCGGGTTTTGATGTCAACCGCAGACGCTGCATCCTGAGCTGCAGAAACGAGGGCATCACATTATTAGACAGAAAATATAACTCTTGAGGAAGATAAAAGTCAATTTTCGGGAAACTCTTCTGCTTTAATACAAGCAACTAATCTTGTAAAAACAGGTTAGGGGGAACGGGAAGAGTATTTGATTCAAGGACTTGAAACGTTTCTACCTCTTCTAAAGTTTTTACATTTCAATAGGCCTCTAAACCCACCAGATTTCTCAGGCATGAAATGGCCATTACGGGCACAAACGTACTCAGCAGCTTATTAGGCTGGGTGAAAAAAGAAGGGTTATTATACCAGCAAAGCATAAAAAAAAGTCCAATCCTCTCCCTCACGTGGCATTAAGTGAGATTTAGCCACTTTTCATGACTTCATCACACACTATAGCCCAATGACACCTTATTGTGCCATGTCCCCAGCCGCAGGTATCTCAAAGCACTAATTAATCAATCTTCTTCCACCACACGTGGGGCTGTGTGGAGAAAGACACCAGACACTACGGTGACCACAGATCTATACGTACAGACAAGCGGCACGTCATGTTGCCAAATTCGGGGATTTACAGGCCAGAGGAGGTCATCTTGATCATCTTGTGTGGCCTCCTTACATGGTGGACCAGGGCACTCAATGCAGCCACCCTCCCTCTGGC